AAAAAAAACTGAGAAAAAAAAAACCACAAAAAAAAAAAAGAAAAAAAAAAGATACTTGTGTCATGATGTTCTACGAATGATCCATTGTAAATTTAAATGCCATTTTTCACTGTACTGGTGAACAAAATGCGATGAATAAAATACATTCATGTACCGAGGCCGGGCCCGCAGCCGCCTGCTCCTTTCTGTGCCCCCCAGCCGCTGGCGGGTTTTGGGGGTGCTGCGGGGTGGGGTGGCACGGGGAGGGGGGGACAGGACCTGACCCTGGAGTCCTTTGCCAGCTCCCTGCGCCGGGGGGGGGCACCGCCTGACCCACTTATGCCTTTTGCCAGAAATAGCAGCCTGGCAGCTTGCGCCTCTTCCGTGTGTCACCGTGTTCCTCCCAGAAGGGGTCCCCTCCGTGCCCCCCGTCGCCCACCCCGGGTGGGGGGTTTTGGTGACCCCAGGGACATCCCTGGTAGCAGCCCCCGTGCTGGCACCCGCACAGCAGCCCCCCAGCCAGCCCCGCTGGCACACGGTGGCACGGCTGTCACACACGCATGGCTGGGGGGGGGTGTGTGACAAGGACACGGTGCCCTTGCACACCCCCACAGCCGAGGAGGCTGGTCCAGGGGTCCCAGCCCGGGACTGGGGGGCAGCGGGTACCCCCCATCCTGCCCCCCACAGCCAGTGCTGGCACCCCCCGTCCTGCCCCCAGCCCAGCTGTGCCAGGGGGAGGGGGTGTCAGGGGGCTGCTCCCCGCAGGCTGGACGGGTGGAATTAAACCCGATTTGGTTTCATTACCACAAAGCCTTGAGCCCTGGCTGCTCTCCGGGGCCCGGGGCGGGGGGGGCATCACCCGCTCTTTGGAGCATCCTGCTGCTCCCCCGGGAGAAATGTCCGTGTCTCCCTTTTCTCCCATCACTGGGCAGCTTGGAGGGGGGGACACTGTTCCCTGTCGCCCATCTGCAAGGGTGTAGCAGCTTAAGGCTTTATTGGGTGGCGGGAGGCCAGGGAAGAGCCCCCCCCCAGTCACAGCTGGATGGCGAGAAGGTAGTCCTCATCATCGTCCGGGGGCGCGGGGGGCAGCGGC